GATATATTTGAACAATACTAATTCAAGGTTTATACTTTTATTTAGATGTCGATATGACTCCTCAAGTAACACGTAAGTGCTTAACTAAAGAACTATAAATTGTACATTAAATGACTTTTTACCAGTTTCTAAGGACAAAATGAGAATTTTATTATATAAAAATATATATTGTTACATGTCATTTATGATGTACCAATACGTCTTAAATGCATCTTATGGTCAATTGAACATCTTTGAAGTTATATCTACTGAATAATATTAATAAAAAATAATAAAAATTTTAAATTTTTGAACGATTTTTCAATACTTGTCAAAATTACACAGATTATGTATTAAAGATTTATGTATAATAAGAATATCATACTGGTGTATGTTAATTTTTGGATAATTTCTTATAGAGTATAACCTTTATAATATACAGAAATCTCCGTAAAAAAGTTACTTTTTGGGGAATTTCGTGATGGAATATAAAAAAAATTTCATTCTTATAAGTTCGTACAAAAAAAATTAAACATAAAATTTTTTTTTTTTTTTTTTTAAACATAAAATTTTTTTTTTTTTTTAGCTGTTGAAGTGCTTTCAGTTTTTAGAAGTAAATAATAATTTTATTGATTTATAGCACTAGATATTAATCCATTATATATTATATGGTGTATAGAAATTACTACTAGAACTTTAACAATCTAAAGAATGACATTGTATATTTTTATTGAACGCTGGACATATTTAATTCTATCAAATACAGAATGTAAATTCATTTTTCTTTCGATATTTTAAATTAACCATAATTATTAATCATTATTTAATTTTATATAATTTTATTATGATTGAATAAAATATGCAACTATGTCCATTTATTAAACACTTTACTTAAGAATAAAATTTAACTTAAATAGTATGTTAGTATATTAACAATAAATAAGAAAAAGGACAGTTAATGTTTTAATTTTCTTGGTTAAAGTTTTATTNAGGACAGTTAATGTTTTAATTTTCTTGGTTAAAGTTTTATTAGGACCAGAGATTTAAAAATAAAGTTATAGTAATTTTAAATTGAAAAAAAAAATATTGAATATGCTTTAGAAACAGTAGCATAGTCTTAAGGTATTTTAAAAAAATTTAAATTAAATGAAGATTTCCAAATTTTGGTGCTAATTTATTAAACTAGACTAATCATTAAAAAGATTTTGAATGTATAAGTTTGTAAAAAAACATAAAATGTTTGTGTTTAGCTGATAATTTGAGCGAATCTATAAGAAGTAAGTAATCATTTAATTGATATATAATGATTGGATAATATTTTATGTTAACTAATTTTTATTTAGATATCGATACGACTTCAAATATACTTGGTAAGAGGGAAAAATGTATTTAATATATACAGAATTTGTTATTTAGATATATTTTTTCCTACATAAAATTTTAAAATATAATATTTGAGAATAACATATCTAAGTTTTAAATGTATTGTTTTACATTATTAATAGATAATGTTGTTTTTTTGAAGCATAAATCTACAAAATTTGTCTAAAATTTTCATGGGCAAATATTAAAAATACCCAGCAAGGTGGGATCACGGCACAGTGGTGACGGAACATAGTTGGATCAAGTATAGTGATATCTTAGAGTGATTAAAATCACTATAAAAAAATAACGTTTCCATGCATATCTTTAGATAGTGATTACTTTTAAAAAATTGGTGGATTGTTCCAAAAGCTACGTGATCTGCTATTTCCTTATTAATATCCTGATTAAGATAAAGTATGTCGAATGAAAAAAGGATTATTAAAAAATATTATATCTTATAAAAAAATTTATTGATTCATGAATTTTCCAAAAAGTTATAGTATTATTAAGTTAAAAATATAAAAAAGAATTATTTTACTAAAATCGTACTTTTTCAATTAACTTTGATGTCAATTTTCTCCGTTAAGACAAAATAAAGTCCGAAATTTTTTTTTTTCATAATAAAGAACATTATATTAGCTTTAATTTAAGATATATACAGGGTGTAAATCTTTCGAACCATAGTAATATATGGTCGAGTATACTGGTGGAGTGTAAAATAGGATCTCGTTTTTTTTTTTAATTTCCAAAATTGGAGGTATTTTGGAATAACCTCCTCGAATTTCTCTAAAATAAAAAAGAAATCATACCACAATATTTCCCGCAAAATTATCATACAAATTGAGTGGTCACTCAACTTTTTGTAACTTTTGCGCCCACCTCTGAACTTTGGGTTCAAAGTTGGAAAAAAATTTCACATTAGTGTGACCCATCAATTTGTATTGAAATTTTACTGGGAGTCC